GGTTTTTTTCCCCTTCTTAAATCTGTTATACCAGAGGTGCTACTACTATCGTTTATGGGCTCGGCTTTGACCAGCAGTGGGTCTGTCTTGGAGCTGGTTGGCATTGGTTCCATCGGACATCAGAAGCTTCTAGCAACTTCTCACAGAAGCCACTCCTGTAAGCTCCCCACTACCAAAACCTTGCCATGCAAACGCAATACAACCCCACTTAGGTATAGTAGTTTTCATAGCTGTACATCTAAGAACTGTGTGTAAGATATCAAACTGAAAGTTTTCCTCAACAAATGAATGGTGTATGAATGAATATGAAGAATCTTGGAAGCTGGATTAGGCCCAGCCTTGCAGATACCTGGCATGGAACCTGGCATGTTTGCAGAGGGGACCTGAGCACTGCAGGTATGATCTCTGTACTGGGTGCACTACAGAGTTTTACCTAGTCTCCCAGCAGGTTTACTTTCCCATGTAGGAATGAGGTTTGGAGCCATCCCTGCTCACTTTTTATGAAACCCTCTTCTTCATCCTCTAAAGCCAGGACTTCAGGTGGGGACACCTGTGTTTCACAGCAATTCTCTGAAGATGGCTTACTTTAGTTCAGTATCTGTCATCCCGTTCCCATAGGGCGAAACAAGATTATTCAGTTAGTCAGGAACCTGCCAGTTTTTGTAACATAAAGTAATGTTTACTCAGAAGAACATACTAAATCAAAAATGTATAATAAAACAACAGTAATTACAAACATATATATATTTTTCTAACTTGCTGGGAGTCACTGTGCTATTTCAGACCCTCTTGCAGAGCCCGTCTCTCTTGGTCGCAGCTTCTCACTGGGTTTCTGATTCGAGAGCAAGTGTTGTCTCGCTCTGAACCTTGTCAAGGTTGGCCATTCCACACAATTGCAGGTCTGTTACCTGCCAGGCTTTTTGACCCACATCAATGTATGTGTTTTCCTCGGGGAGCTGCTTATAGGTAGATGTTCCCTGTCTTATGAATGTGAACTCACAGTCACTTACTCCAGTTCTTGCCAAGGCTATATGACCCAGCCCCCAAGCACTGCCACCAACCTGTCCAAAAATATATGGCTGATGAGTCAAATTGTGTCTGCAACATCTCACTTACCAGAGTCCTTTCTTTGCACGGCCCTTTGCAGAATCAGTAGTGAGGGTGCCAGTCTCCTGGGAGCTCTTTCATGGGCTATATTGTGCCCTGGTCTGCATGCAGACATGCTACAGGAGTGCCTGGCATGCCTAAAAAAGTCATTGAGAATGCCTTTGGTTTGCTGTGGAGGAGTCCAGGAAAGCTGCTTTTGCCCTTTCGGACTGGACGTAGAGGCTGCACAGCAGACTTTGAGGTATGAAGGAAAGGATGTACATATCCCTTCAGCCACTCTCTCTCTCTGCATCCAGAGGTGCAGGGTTGAAGGCCCAAGAACAACTCAGGAAGGACAAACATGGCTTTGACCCCTCTTTGTGCCAGTGCCCGGTGCAAGCTGTGACCTTGTCTCACACTGTGCAGGCCAGAGTCCCCGTAACTCTCTGGATTTTCTGGCTCGAACCTCCCCACTCCCTCCCTGAGTCTTGCTTCTGCCCTGGTCCTTCTGATGGTCTTTGGGATGGTCAGTGGTAGGCAGACACTTGCAGAAGTAATTTTTACAAACATATATTTAGCTTTCTTAGATGTCCTGTAATGTCATAGCAATTTATAGAGGGCTGGATGGAGACAGCCTAACATTTCTCCCACAGTTACCCCACTGCTGTGGCCAGCTTTGCCCCAGCTGCAGTGTGCTGGTCACCCTGAGGTGTCTGTCACCACAGACAAGGGACCAGGAAGCCTTGGCACACAACCACCCTCCATCTGAGCTCTGCCTCAGTGGGTGCAGACGTGGGGTTATAAATACATCCCTCGTCCCACAAACCTTTTCTCGTTTTTGCAGAAGAAATTGAAATAAGGTGGTGATCCAGTGATTCATTCCTCAGAGCATCAAACCTCAGAGAACATCTAGATCCTCTCCTGACCCCACAGTGGGTCCTGACCTAAACAACACCCAAAGCATCTTCAAACCCATATGCTTTGCAGAACAAATGAGGGAACCAACTTGCCTGTGACCTGCATGGCACCACAAAATCTTCTTGCTGACTGCAGTTTCACATGGTTCAGAAACATGGCAGTAAGCAGTCTCACAGCCTTGCATCCCCCTCCTTTGCTAGTGGTATCGCAGGACAGCCAAATCAGTTCTCCCATAATGAGTTTCAATTTTGTCAGGCAGATGAACCTGTGGCTCTTACAGTAGTTGGCTTTGTGCATGCAAAAACATTAGACTAGATGTTTCAACATCAGCCTCTCAGCTTTCATTTACTTAATAGTGTCTATTACCTGCCTTATTAAAGTATTCATCTGAGTATTGCAAGGCATTGTATAAAGATCAGAAAATGGAAAGCAAGGTACCAGCCAATCCCATAAACTCAGGAGAGCTCCTAGCTCCCCATAACCCTTGCTGTACAGCACGTTTTGTTGCCCACTATTATGAATTATTGTAATAAGTGGTCTGAGGGCTCAGGCTGAAAGACTTCAGGCTTCATCTGAAATGAAATCAGTTAAATTGGCTTGATTCAAACAGAATTTGGAAGTCTGTGCCAGTGAAGGCTAGCATAGGAAAATGAGTCTGGTTGCTTCTACAAGGGAAAAAAGAGATCTTTGAAAGCCATGGAAACAGTGACTAATTGCAGTATAATCAACAGAAATGAGATTCAGGTTTTAAAAGGGTAGTGGCCGTTCCCTCTACTTATGTAGAAATAATTTAGCTGTTTTCTAATTGTGCCCCAAATTGTTCTTGTGAGATGGATATTTTAAAATTGATCTCCTCTGACTAAAAAGCAAGAGCCTTGGTGAAAAAAAAAATCAAAACCCACATTAAAGGAAAAGCCTGTGAATAGTCAAAGGCCACAGTGACACAGATAGCATCTGCTGTCATCCGGTGGAGCTGAACCAGGATGCACACATTTCAAAGCCTTAATCACTGTTCATGATGTCACCAAAATGCTATTAGGATAAAAATAGTGACATTGAAACTCCTGATTTTCCACAACATTCACTTCAAAGACTTTGGCTCTATGACACAGCAGTGTCTCGTGGCTTATGCAGATATCTAGTGAGCAAGTTGACTAATCAGCGGGAGGGACTCAATTTAGGAGCTCTCTAAATAAAACTGTGCGTTTCGCCCTTGTCCACTGAATTGCAGAAGAAACTTAAAAATCTTCCTGTTGAGACTCAAGACTGTGGTTTGAAAGCAGGGCAGATTCTGGTGTCAGGCGTGCCATCTTTGTCTGGGCAGCAGGAGCCGGGGTGGCTGTGGGCAGTGCAGGGAGCTGCTGAGATTTTGAGGCAGCATCCTCCTGAGGAGTGCTGGTGCTACAGGGCTTGGAGGGTGCTGGCTTGGTGCCAGGTCCTCAGCCACCCTGTGAACCCCCAAACAGGGACCCATGGGGCAGGCAGTGCAGCTCGCAGCCCCTTACAAGCTATCTGGGGTCTTCTGCTCTTCAGAAGAGGTGGGCTCAAAGGATGAACAAAGCACTTTCAGGGTTCAGGTGAGAGTGGCTGGTTCAGGCCCAAATTCCCTTGGGATAAAGGTCATTATCGAACCATCCCAGGGCACTGTACAAAGACCAGAAAAGTGAATACTTTCACCACTGCAGGCAGTGTTCTTTGGACACTGCTAAGTTCCTTGTCATGAAGCCTGGTGTGCTGTTTTCTTCTCTCACCTCTGTGTTGTGTGAGACCACAAAAAGTGCAGAACATTTGTCCTTTCTTTTCAGAATGCCCTTTATCTGCCTTTTTAAAAACGTTTTTCAGATCGTGCCCTTCCTCGAAACTCTGTGTCTAAACTTCTCAATTATGCAGAAGATCTCGGTAAGGTTTCTGGTATGCAGAGTACGTTCTGTGTGTTCCTGAGTTGGTCAGACTTTACCTGTTACATCTCATGTTACATTTAAGTTGTCTCTCTATAATACCAAGGTTGAAAAGGCTGCAACACAGAGATCCAGAGGCTACCACTGCGTTGACAGATAAAATGGACCTGGCCAGTTTCTCCTGAGGACAAGTGGCACAGTCTGACTTGTGTCCATATGCTAACCACAAACTACTGATTTAATGATTCACCTTACAGCACTGGGAACCCTCAGGTTCCTATTTCTTCACAAGTACAAGGTACAACCTTTTCAAATAGCACAGCTGCGGTGGCTGGAGGCACTAGTTCAGCTCAATAACTGCAGATTGGTATTTCAAGGAAAGCTGAAAACTAGGAGGACTCAGTTAACAGCTAAGGCATCTGAAGGGAGGTAGCCTCCTCCCTAGGTCAGGAATGGGCAGGGTGATATCCTCTTAAATCATTCCAAACCGTATTTAGACATGGCTTTTTCCTGAGACCCTTTGCTTTCTACCTCATTGCTGGGAGCTGTAATACATCCATGATGCACCTTTGCTTCACAGTATATTTTTCTCTACTCCACACCTAAGTTTGTGCTACCCACTGCATCCGCAAAGCTATGATTTACCAATAGCAGAATAGGGACTGATCCAAAGAAAACAGGAATTGCTATTATTGAAAGTCTAATGTATAGGTCTAACTTTTTTTGGTTGGTTGGGTTTTTATTTGTTTGTTTGTTTGTTTTGTGTTTTTTTTTTTCCTGCACGTTGCTGACTTGAGTCACTGTTACTAGTCATTGTTACTCTGGGATCCTGGCTGGCTGAATTTCTAACAGCTGATGGAGTCAAAGCAAAGGCTGATATGCAATGTCAGCAGCCCTATATAGATGCCGGACTAAGTCCATCATAACAGATCTTGTTCATTTTTTTTTAAAACCTGCATATCTGCACTTGTGCAAAACAGAGTCCGGATTAGCAGTCTCTGCCCTCACCCAGTTTTCCACTGGTCACTTCAGCTGCAAGGAAAAGAACCTCACCCTGTCCAAGGGCACTGGCGTGTGTCTGGGCTTGCAAGGACCGGCCACCAGATGACACTGTTACCCCTAAGAATTAACTTCCACGGGAGCAGATCCATCGAATTACGTCTCAGAAAAAGGGGATGAAGGAGCCTCCTGCACGCCGGGGGCAGACGGCTGCCTGAGCATCTTTGGGCATCCGGTGCCCATTCCTTTGGCCACCGTGACTGAGCATTGGACTGTCAGAAAGATAAATTTTGTGTCTTATCTGCAGCACTTCACTGCAGGTAAACTGCAGTCTTTGCTGTGCTTTATGTACATTAGTTTTCATTTACTTGCAGATAAACCTGGACCAAAGGATAACAAATGAGACAATATGTTTTCAACAAGTGCTGAGAATTACAAATTGATCCCTGTATTCTAGTTTATCCATCCAAAATCAATCCTGCTGATTCAGAAATGAAATTAGATAATGAGTTTGATTTGCAAGTAGTGGTACACCACCACAATTTTTCAAGCCTAAAATGCTGCTATCATCATTTTGAACTGCTGAAAATGTCACTGTTATAAAAAGTTATTCTTCTATCAAGGTTTCTCTTTCTTTTTTTTTTTTTTTTAGATTTTCCGCAATGAACAGTGTGTCTCATCTGTTCCCTGGAGCAAATTGATGCTCTTCCCCCATTAACCTTTGGGATGGAAGAGCCAAAGAGCATCAGCATTCTCCTTTCTGACACAATCCCTTCTGCTCTGGGCTTCATCCTGTCCAGGGCCAAATCCCTTTGGAGTTGCATGACTACTCACACCTTTTTTTTTTGTCTCCTGGGTTTCAGGTGGCCCCTGAGACGAAAGCAGTCATGAAGTGGTTGAGGTCTATCCCATTCGTGCTCTCTGCTAGCCTCCATGGGGGTGAGCTGGTTGTGACCTATCCTTATGACTATTCAAGGCATCCTATGGAAGAAAAAATGTTCTCCCCTACACCTGATGAGAAGGTAACATTGTTTTTGCAGGGTGAGCATATTAGTATGGTTTCCACGTGTGGAACTATGGAAGCTTTTTCTATTAACAAGTAACAAACTTTGATTTATTTAGATTGCATACATGTGTGTATATGTATGCATGTATGTATTAAACAAGTAATAAATCGCACGTTTATATATGTAAGGCATGTATATATACATATATAAAGTATGATTTATACACTTATTTAATGTACTTTAAAATATGGGGTCATTTACACACTATCATCTTGATCTGTAAAGATTTGCCCATGTTTTGTGAGGCCAAACATGATTTCACAAAGCACAGGTTAGGAAAAGCCAGGCTTTTACTATTTACAGGGTGTAGGCTGTGATATTTTTACCGCTGATTTTCAGAAGAAAAGGAACAAGCTTGACAAGCAGTGTTATTTCCTGTTGAAATCTGCAGGAAAAAAAAAAAAAAAAACAAAACAAAACAAAACAAAACAAACCAAAACAAAAAAACGACTGGCTGCCGTATGGTGGCAGCCTTGTAACATTTATTCCAGGTCAGATGAATGGGAATGGTTTTCCCGTCTCGTCCCTGGAGAGTTCCCCATTTGGGACTCACTGTAAATCTTCTGTGAAATTTTTTGCCATCTTTCCTGTTTCCCTTTGGTTTTCTCCATCTAGTATTCATTGCCGACATGTCCACTAGGAGAACAGCTAGTTTTTCAGCCTTCTAGCATATGTTAAAAATGTCCCTGGCCTCTTAAGAGAAAGTGGTTCTTTCTGTAACAAACAGCAGTTGAAAATAGTCACAAGTTGATCTTTGACTTGAAGCATCCGTTATCTTTGAGCATACCTCTGGGTTGACTTCTTCTAAAGTGACAGTTCTCACCAGCATATATTAAATATTTAAATATTTATGAATGTTAAACATTTTCTATATCAATCCGTTTCTTCTGAGCTGTATGATACCTACTGACTATGTGTGTATGACAATAATATAGCAGTAAAATACACCAGGCACTGCACGGTAAAAAGCCCATGTAAGAAATATCTGGTGGGTTGTAATGAAAGCTACAGAAGCTCTTGGTGAGGACTAGGTGAAATCATAAACCTGTGCACTTATATCCCATCACCTGGGCTAGAGGCATCCTGATTTACGTGTAGATGGCGGAGGAATATGGCCGTGTGTGCCTTATCAAGCAGTTCAGCTGTGGCATGGAAGGACAGCAGTCCCTCCATCATCTCCAGTCAGGGACAGCACGAGTGTTTTGGGTGAAACAACGCAGTCAAAGTCACATGGACAAAGTGCTCCATATCAATGCAGTGCTCAACTAGGCAAGACCTAATGGCATCCCTGGTTTGCGACAGTGTGAGACAAAGGACCTCAGGCCGGTGACTGCTGCATAGTCATTGGCTGCAAAGCCTGGGAAGTTAGCTACAAACTTGGAAGTTTAAAATGTACAGGAGAGGGCTGGTCCTCCATTAAAAGCAGTTTTTCGTATGAGTCAGCACAGGAACCTTAACAACACTATCGGTATCACTTTAAATTTTGCCCAGAAAGTTATAAAACCTATGCTTGTGAAGTGACCTGCATTTAAGTAATGTCATCTGCAGCTGCTGCTGCCAAGAAGCCTGCATCCTGAAATATAGCAACTTGTTTTAGCTGCCGCACATTAGCCATAACCCTTGTTCTGACAGCTGACCTGTCGAATTTGCCGTGCAAGGGGAAACAAGACATGTTTGCACCCTTGCCTGCAGCACAGGGTGAAATACTGCAGTACAGATAATGACCAGATATTAAAAAGTCAGATTCTGCGAAGTACATTCAAACCAGGTTGCCCTGTTTGAAAATGCATCTGGGTGCCGCCACCTGCCTTTGTCCCTCATAGTGTATATGCAGTAGCACGAGGATTGTCTTGGCACCTGCTCCAAGACACTGCAGATTTCAGGCCTCTTTAACCTGCATCACAACCTGGGCTGGTACCTGCTGACATCAAGGAGTCTCAAAGATGGACAAAGTCCTTATACTCACATTTTTGCATTTGGTTCAGCCCACCTAGTCCAGAACTTTCCTATTTTTTGGCTTTTGTTGAGATGGATGTTTTTAGCAGGCTCTTCTTGCTTTGTGTTACACAAGAAGCTGCATTGATGCCTGTGCTCACCAGAACAGAAAGCTGCAGATCGAGTCAAGTTCAGTCCCTTTGCTGAACAGAAATGCTCCCTTCCCTCCCCCTGAAAAACTCAATCTGTGACAGTCAGTGGGCTAAAAGTGCTGGCCAAGGTAACAGCACTGACCTCATTTTACCAAATGAAGCATCATGCTTCTAAAGTCACAAGGATTCCTCTGTGGTTTTGCCCTTTTTATTCCACTGTATTACACCTAAACGTCTAAGCTTTTTGATGTCCATGACTAGTCATACATTAGCTGCTAAGTGATAATAAATGTATTGCTATCTGAGCACTTTAACTTTTTTTTTTTTTAAAGTTAAACTTTTTCTTTTCTTTAAATGAAGTTCACTTGATTTTGGATTTCTCACTTTCTCTTCTCACTACCACCCATCTTTGTTCACTTGCATTGGTGGCCAGGCAAAAGCCCTACGCCTCTTGGTGTGAAACCAGAGAATAAAGACTTGGTCACTGGAAATAAAACATCTGCAGATGTCTTTAGGAAAGGTGAGGAGCATACTCCTAAGTCACATAGGTAACTTCTAAACTTTTAGCAAATATTTTCCACAGGAGGTTTAGAACTGGGACCCAAATTCCGGTAGAAACTAAAGATATTAGGCAAAACACCAAATTATTGGCAGTAGAAGTTCTTCTCAACATATTTAATTAACATCCATTTCTTTCCAGGAGAATTTTGAAGGGGACTTAATTGTCTGGGCTGGGTAATACTTACACACATAGGAAGTCAAGCCAGATGCAAAAGTATTTTATATTAAGTCAGGATTTTTAGTGTCTGCTTGTCAGAAGTATTTTGGTAAATTGTCTTTACACTTACACAACACTCTGTCCGCCTTTCCTTGGGCACCTACCTGATCCCATAACTGGCTCAGCTTTGTAATTATTAGAAGCATTCGTAAATATTAGATCAAAGTTGTGTGCTTGGTCATTTTGGTCTTTATCCTTGATGACAACATCAAGGATAAAGTTTTAGGATTACTTCTGAAAATAGGATTTTAGCCACCCAACTTCTTGCACACGTTGTCTTAAGCATTACGCAATGAAACACGTGATAGTGAGTAGTAGGATCTAGTAGCATCTGATAATTGCTGTCACGTCAATGTCTAAATCTGAAAATATAGCTTTGTAGATAAGGTTCAAATAAACAAAAAGGAGAGAGGGGAGAAATCCCTCAAAGTTGAAATAAACATTGGAGAAAAACAGCAGGAACCTGATTCAGAGAAATGGTTTCTGCAGATGACTGCTGTTTCCTCTGTCTTCACTACATGTACCTGTCACTTTTCCTTTCTGGGTGGTGGCTCCTCTGCTCTTTATCAGTATCAACACTCTTAGGAAATCAGTGGTGACATCCTCCATCATCACATGCTCTCCTTCGCTTTTTAGGAATGATTTCTGCCCCACAAAAAAGAAACTGTCATTGAGATCAAACTGGCAGGTTGTCTTATATGAGTGATAAGTGTAAAGCAAATTGACACTGTCTATTTTAAACAGCAGCAGCCAGTGTGAAGATCTGGTTGGGCTGACACTGGTGTAAGTATTTTTGAAAGGGTAAAAATAGCAAGAGCTAAAACATATCAGGGAAAGCTGATTTCAGCTTTAAAACCTAGGACTTGAAGTACAACCAGACAAGTCATCTACTCCTGCCCCAGATGATAGATTGAAGCCAACTATCACAAAATTCACCAGTATTTAATGTTGTCTCTGGCTAAACGTATTGGATTGCAGAGAAGGACCTTGGAGAAGACAAGTGAAAAATTCCTGACAGAATATCGTTGCATGGAGTTTCACCCCCTCCATCAGGCTCGAGGACCCAGGGTGGCTCATGGTCTGGGCTCACATCAGCAATGGTTACGAGCAGCAATGGCAACGTTTACAGTTTGTAAAAGTAAATGTATTTCTAACCCTTTTGTTACAGATGTTTAAAATGCTGGCTAAAGCCTACGCAGATGCACATCCAGTCATCTCGGACCGATCTGAACTTCGTTGCGGTGGAAATTTTGTAAAACGCGGAGGTATTATAAATGGTGCTGAGTGGTACAGCTTCACTGGAGGTAAAACCACTTTACCATCATATCAAGTGAGGTAAAACCTCTATATGACTTTTATGAGACACAAGGGTTTGAAAGAAATAATTGTATTCATTTCAGTTTATGTCAAACCCCTGCTAAACATACCTTATAAGGGATTTAAGTAGCAAAATGTATGTTGGTAACATTTATATTCAGACACCATGAGACTTATTGAGTCCTCATACGACCTGAGAAAAGCTAGCAACTTATACAAGGGTTAAATATATTATTGCATATAATACCATATAATACCATTATAGTTTTCAAATCTGAAATGTAGAAATGCTCTTATTCCTTAGTGGCATGAACTTGAATCCATCTTGCAGACTATGCAAGTGTTTCTTTTTCAATCTGTTTAAATAAACTCTTTTTGAGGAAAAACTACAATGGAGACAAACATCCCATTCATATGTACTTGGGTTGCTAATTTGAATTCCCCAATAATAGTATCTAGTTTTCTTCAGGATTCCTGAAATACTGGCATGGATGACATATCAGTATTCATAAATTTTCAGCAGTACTTCAGCTGCGTTTTCAAATAGGACTCAGTTGAAACCCCCCAAAATTATGTTGAAACTAGGCATTTAGAAAGCTTTGGGGCATGAGTGAGAATTAGGTTTAAATATCTTCACTTACATTCTCCTGAAAATTATATCCAATGTCTTTCATATACAAACAGTTTTGAACATACTAATGGCAAAAGGTCATCTCTTTGCTGGTGATCCTTGGCAATCACCTCTGATACAGCCGATTATCCAGTTTCCATGATTGACCAATCCTTATCTCTCTATTGCTACTTCTTGGTCAGGTGAATAATAATTTAAAATTATGCTTTTTCACCAGAAAGAACTGTCATTGTCATTATTTAATTCATAGTTGAAATGAGTTGTAGAATTCTGAATTTGTTGAATACTTCTTATATTTTGGCCAAGCACCCTCTTTAGAATATATTCATCCATACCCACAGGGACTGCGTTCAGCTGACTGCAGCAGCAAAGCTCCAGTTAAGGGTTACATGACTTGTTCATGATCTCTCCTTTTTATTTTTAAACCAATAGGTATGGCAGATTTTAATTACCTTCACACAAATTGTTTTGAAGTTACCGTGGAGGTAGGATGTGAAAAATTTCCTTTGGAGGAAGAACTGTTTACAATCTGGCATGAAAACAGAGATGCCCTTCTGAATTACATGGAAATGGTATGGCTTTGCTTTTACAGACTTTTGTGCTTACAGTTTTTTTTCTTCATTCTTTGTCAATATTCATTTCTCTACTGTTTCCCTGCTTAGTTACTGAGATAGCCCTGAATCAATCATCACGCTCTACTGGGGACCCTGGTGCCTTGTTTTGTCTAGCAGGAGACACAGATAATATTTTACCTATATTGCAGGAAGAATGGAGATTGAGGACTATAAAGGCCTTGAAAACAGCGAAAAACGGGAGTTATCTGTAAATACTTTGTGCAACATTATAAATCAACTGTCCAGAATTTAATGCTAGAGAAAACCCATCTATTCAGAAAAACATGAATCAACCTTTCTCTTTAAGATTAAACCAACAAAATCTGCTTTCCAGAGAGCTTGCTGGAATTTTTTCCTTTCCATATTCCATGTTTGTAGCCCAAACCCTGCTACGCGGCAGCAGATTTAGATTCAGCTAAAATGGAGAGGTTCTAAGTATCTTGTTAGAAATGCCGTTTCCACACTTTTCAGCTTGATTTCTTGATGAAAGTAGTTAAAAAAGATCTAAAGTCTGATCTTCTAGAAGAACAACTGTATGTCTGTGAGCATTAAAACATTCCATTTAAAAGTAATTTTTAATAATACATTTAAGCTCAGCAAAAACAAATACCTCACTGACAATAAGTAAGTGAACACAGAAACACAAGTTGCTCATCTTTCTCTCAGCCATTAGTAGAATAGCTTTCTGTCATGCCTTATTTTGATAGAGTACGCAGTAATTTAAAATTGTTAGGAGTGTTTTTATGGCCTTTCTAAGCAACCTCTTGCTACTTGTGGTAAGTATTATCATTCAATAAAGTCTACAGTACAGACCACCAAACTCATTTCATTTTACAGCTGTCTGATGAAAATCAGTTTTAGTGAATCCAAATGGAGCTGGGTTAAATCCATATATATTGCAATTGAAGTCTTCAAGATGTAAAGATTTTTATAGTGTGAGATACTGTAGAAGTCTATGCCGGAAAAGCTTTTTGAGTAAATGCAGGACAGTAAGCAAAACAACTTTGTAGATAAGGATGACTGAATTACTCCCGATAAGGATTAAGTCTGCCATAACCAATTCAAACTTTTCTTACCCTGATACATACCAGGCTGTTTGGTGTGTGTACAAATCTACTTGGCTTAACACGCAGAAGTAGAATTCATTTTCATAAATGCTGATTTCTTCTCCCTATCAGAAGTGATAACAAAACACTCTCCCAAACTTATGTGGCCTAGATTTGAGACAAAATGAAAAAATAGTATATTTACTAGAATAAAACAAATCAACATTGTTAACGAAATTTCGATTTTGTCGTTTTTATCCTGTCATGTTGTAATTGCAAAATTATTATTGAAGTTAGATGAGGTCATACTACTTTGAGTATGTCTACACTGTAAATTAAGTTTGGGTCTGAGATGACTCTTCTGACCAGATTTCCCCACTATCCATATGATAAATCCTCAAGTCCATGCTGAAAAGCTAATTACAGTGCTTCATCATAATAGTTCTTAGGGGACAGCTTTCAAGTCCTTATACTGAGTTGTTCCTAAACCCTCCAGTGAATAGCTCCGCTCAGTACAGGACGGCTGTTTAACAAAAGCAGCGACAGCCTCACCTTAAATAAAAAACTGCTGTCCCTAGACTAGACTTTTTTTCCCCAGCTTCATATTAAGAATTACTGTAAAGTTGGATATTTTAGTGTTTATTTTCAAACATCTCTATATTCCAACGGAAAAGCAAATATATTTTTCCATTGTTTTGATGCTTTGTTCTTTTGTCGACTCTTCTTTTGTGACAAAGGATAATGGGGAGGGAAAAATGAGAGGAAGAGAAAGAAAGAGGGGGGAAACGAAGTGAAGTATAGCTCAAGTTGATCGTAGCAGTTCAGGGGAAAATTCAATATGGAATTACTTTTCATTGTAAAAGATCAAATAGAGCTTCCAATAGAAAATATTTTCATTTCAGAAGGTTGCAAAAAAAAGAACCTTAAGAGATTTAATATTTAAATACTTGGATTTTTTTTCCTGTTTTGTTTCATTTTATTGAGCTTCAAATATAGTGAATCATTTCTGCACCTCATTGTATGACAGAATTCACATCACTCTTTAGTTTGTCACCAAGCATGTTTCTCATCAACTCAAGAAACTCAATTCTGTGCTTGTAGAAAAGGGAAAAAGGATATTATACACACTGCTATCGTGACATTCTGACTTGTAGTGAAGTGTAGGCAGCAGAGTGATGACGAGTCCCAAGTAGGTAAAATGATGCCTTCTCATTGTCTATAGAGAATCAAATTGTTTTTTAAAGCCTTAACTTTTCATTTCTTTGCGGTTCTGAGTCTAGGGCAGATGTTCAGAAACAGTCTTTAAATACTGTGGTAAGATCATGAGGTGCCAGTGATCTGTGCAGAAAAGGGTCTCTCAATGCAGAGCCACATACCTAGTCTAAAAAAGCTCTTGCTCAGTTATCCCTTTCCCTCAGTCCCCTTGGAGCTCCCAAAATAAAGGATGTGATCTGAAGGGGCATTAACGCCTGAGAGCCTCTATAATGGGTTGAACCTCTTGAAAGTTGTTTCCTCTCTACAGGGTTGTCCTTGTAGAAGATGAGGAGGTGATAATATAATAAATGACTCTCATCTATCTTTGCTTTGCTTTGTCAGGTTCATCGGGGGATAAAAGGAATTGTGTCTGATAAGTTTGGCAACCCAATAAAAAATGCTCGTATTTCAGTCAGGGGCATCCAACATGATGTCACCACAGGTAATATTTTTAGTTTGAGGTTTTTCCTGAGGCAAGGTGAAAGCACTGAGAGCTTAACCTGCAAAAGTCTTGTCATATTTGGTAGAAATGGCACCTTAACGGAGAACTGAAGGCTCAGCTATGGGTTTGTTTCTAGAGTAACAAGAGAGAAGACATTTCAAACTGGATGTTGAGTCTGTCATGTCCTGGGATGACATAGCCCTTGCCGTTAAAACTTCCACCTGGAACTGTCTGCTGTCCATCAAAACCAATTTGTCTTCAATGAGATTCAGAAATCCACCTTTAGGTTTCATGTTTGGGGGAACATGGCAATAGCCCTGCTCAGGGGCTGTAATTCAGCATATGGAGGTGCCAATAGAATAGTTAGTTGAAATATTGTGAGCATGAGGTGTAGACATTAGAGTAGGATCCACACTGTTTTTAACAACTGGAATAAATGCAGTGATTGAAGGGCCCACAACGTTTTTTGTTCATGTGGAAAAGCAAAAATTTATGCTATTTTTGGAAAATAATATATATCAAATGCAAAACAGAATGTTGAATTAGATTCACTTTATACCTGTCGCCAGCTGGTAAACATGTATTTGAGGCATATGCAACTGTTAATTTTCACAGCCATAAAGTTCTGAGCTTTTAGGCTCTCACTGAAATCAATGCTCTCATTTTATTATTGATTTCAGTGAGAGCAGGGTAGGCCATAGGAGTGCAAAATAGAAGACATGAATGGTAACATTTTGCTCTAATGATAGTTGTTGAATCAATTCAGAAAGCCAGAATGGTTTATAATGTAGTGGATGCTTTCCAGCTTTCAAAAAAACTAACATTAGAGGGAATGCAATAGTGGAGATGATGCAGAGTCTTGAGACTGGTGGGAGACTCTGGCATGAATTAGGGTCTTTTTTGAACTTCTTCCCAGATAATGGCTTTCCATTGGCAGTGGACCTTTAAAGAATTAAGAATTAAATAAAAAATGTGTTTACATTGAAGGAAAAAGGAGTACTTGTTCTTGAGTTAGGTGGGGTTAAGAATGTAATATCATTAAAAAGTCTTTTAATTTCAGTGTTAAAAAAGACTGAGAAATTCCATGAGAAAATAGCATTAAAGCAACATTAACTGAGCTAAGAAACTTACCATTCAAGATAAAGGAAACATAAAATAAGAATAAATATTCTGTTTTAAAAATCCCTGCTTTTGCCTACAGGGTCTAACCTTCAGCTGGAGGAAATTTACACCCATTTTACACTAATGGCAATTCATACCAGCTGCAGCTCCAACTCCATAATCTGATGTGCTATAATGTCTGTAAAGTAATTGCATGTAATATAATAAAAGCAGAGATTTCTTAGCTCCTTAGACATGCTATATATACATTGCAGCCTGGGTTCTGCTTTCACTTTCTCAAGTTTCACAAGGTTCATTTGATTTCTTTGGAGTTATTCCTTGTATTCCTGGGAAGGCAGCATGAAGGAAAGCTTCCTTTCCACGGGATACAGGCACAGGAGTTACTGACATTTTGTATGTGAATTTTACTCCATTAGCTCCCAAAGGCCAGATTTTCACAGGTGGGGTCTCTTTTTGTCATTCAAGACTTTGCATCTGAACTTTTTTCAAAATCTGAATCAAAATCTGAAATCCTTTCAAAACCTGCCCCCTAAATGCTTGTGCCATCTGTGCATGCACATGTATGCGAGTACATAACTATAAGGGATGCAAGACTGAAAACTAAGTTCAGTTTTGTTTTGCCTTTACCTTTCTTAAGCTGCTGATGGAGACTACTGGCGACTCCTGCCTCCGGGGACATACATAATCAGCGCCCAAGCAGCAGGATACAGCCGGGTGATGAAGAGGGTCACCCTTCCTGCCAAGATGAAACGGGCTGGGCGAGTCGACTTTGTATTGCGACCTGTTGAGACTTGGCCCAACAAGCTCCTCCGCCGCTCAATGGAAGACATGTATGACCCGTATGACCCGCTGGAACTTTTTGATCCTCATGCCCAACACGGGCAGCCCGAGGCTCGAGGTGGGTCATCACCGGGTAGGGAGAAGCCCTGGTGGTGGTCTTACTTCAGCTCCCTAGACCTGCACAAACCTCTGTGGCTGCTCAAGCAGCACTGAAGA